GTTTTTAAGATTCGTATCAGGGAAATAGAAATTGCAGAAATGATTGACATAAACATTCATTCTCATGGACTTTTCATTACTCGATAGATATTTAGAGTTACCAAAGTTAAGCTGAGTAGGAGGACCCTATCACACTGGACTTGTTTATTTATCCTCTTTTGTCCTACTGGTTGGGGAAAATAGCTCTGCTTAGAGATGTAAAACTTCTGGTGCATTTGAATGCTTTGGGCAACCAAGAGGCTGTTATATAAAGCTTTACATATGTTTTTTGTGTTTGTGGCAAGGAGGGAATGTCATGCTCAACAAACCCTATTTGAGTCAGGAAATTTAATTCAATTTAGTTTACTGCCACTGAAGATAAGGACAAACAATTAAATAAACATGGAAAACACACCTCGTCTTCCCTGTGGACACTTCTCCAACTCTTTCCTGATCTCCCATCCCCTCGCCATGGGTGGATTCAGAAGATGGGAGTCGGTGCCTGTGGTGGCTCCCATGGATGAGTCATAGTCTCCTCAGTGTTATACCTGCTCCTGTGTCTGCACAGGGCAGTCCATGACCTAATCCCACACAGTGCAGCACCCTCACTACCAAAACCCTGTCAATTTAGTCCAGTATGCAGGGGAAAGGGAGAGGGGTGTGTTATTCAAAAAACTCTTCTTAGCATCATTAACACACCATAAGGTGAGGCAAGTAGGACATCAGCTAATGTTGTAGAAGTTCATACCTTCTTTTCAATGGTCTTACTGTTTTTATAGCACCGAAGACACCAGAATCCCAGCCTTGAGAAGTTAGAGATATTATGGCAATGAAAATAATTTTGGAGTCATGGTAAATGACAGTGTGGGAAAAGAAGTAAGAGGAAAGAGGCCATCAGCTCTAGTGTTGGCACAGGCTGGAAATACCAGCCACATCAAAGAGATACTTTTTTAAAAACAAACACAAAGATTATGTATGGATTAGCAAGGAAAGTTCTTTCTAACCTTCTGTACGAACTTAAGTTTCTTTTGTGAAAGCTTTAATTAGTCTAACATATGGAAAAATGAAACCCTAGTCTCTTACATTCAGTAGTCTGCATTTTTTTTTAAAAGGATGGGTTAAGATGTCAAAATGGAAAGAGTGGTTGAAAACATTGTTCATTCAAACATAGCACACTTTCATAGCACACTTTCCATGTGCCAGCCCTTGTCGCCAAGAGGGCCAATGGAATCCTGGGCTGCATAAGGAGAAGTGTGGCCAGCAGGTCGAGGGAGGTCATTCTCCCCCTCTACTCTGCACTGGTGAGGCCACAACTGGAATACTGCATCCAGTTCTGGGCTCCCCAGTTCAAGAGAGACAGGGAACTACTGGAGAGAGTCCAACGTAGGGCAACCAAGATGATTAAGGGATTGGAGCTTCTCCCTTACGAGGAAAGGCTCAAGGAGCTGAGACTCTTTAGCCTGGACAAGCGAAGACTGAGGGGAGACCTTTTATGTTTGTAAGTATCTAAAGGGTGGGTTGAAGGATGTTGGAGCCGGACTCTTTTCAGTGGTTTCCAGCAATAGGACAAGAGGCAACGGGCTCAAGCTGGAACATGGAAAGTTCCATTCAAATATGAGAAAAAAATTCTTTACAGTGAGGGTGATGGAGCCCTGGAACAGGCTGCCCAGGGAGGTTGTGGAGTCCCCTTCTCTGGAGATCTTCAAGACCTGCCTGGATGCAGTCCTGAGTAACGTGCTATAGGAAATCCTGCTTTAGCGGGGGAGTTGGACCAGATGATCTCTAGAGGTCCATTCCAACTCTGACAATTCCGTGATTCCGTGATTTCAACGCTTCTGCTAAGCCTAGCCTAGGACTGATCATGTATCAGTGAATGGCTTTCTGTAGCAGTGATGAAAAAAACTGGTTTGACTCTGCCTGCTTAAGTAGTACTTCTCATGCTGCTTCAAGTCCTCACATTGCCACTCAAGTCCTGAAAGACCTAGCATTTATCTCTTTTTAGTTTGTGTTTGACCATTATAATGTTGCAGTCTCAGCAAATTAAGATCAGCGGTGTATTAGCCTTAGTGTTTCTGCCATGCCTGAGTGGATGCTTCTAATAGTCACACTGTGTTACTATGGCATTCTTAGTTCCTTTCTTTTTGTTCAGCATCAGGATATTTCTGGAAAAATGAATGACTACTCTTTGTAATTAGTGATGAGTTCTTGTCTTAGTTCCTATTAGTGTCTTTAATGAATACTAAATACTTTCTGGTAATGAAAGAAAGACAAGAGAAAGCTGAAAGAGGAAGAGAAAAGAGGGAAGAACAAGGAACTGATAGGAGTTTTTTGCAGGGTTGTTTTTCATGCTTAAAGCTTTTCTCTTCTTCCTGTGTCATCTCGGTATAGGCAAAAGTAGATTTTTAAAATTTTTATATATGTGTAAAATGATATTTTATAATCTACATGATTTTCTTTTTATATACATTAATTATCTGAGCACTTAGCAAGGGAAAAAGGAAACTATTCTCCTATTTAAATAATACTCCTATAACTATTACTACTTAACTGAATTAATTGAAACTTCTGGACAGGGAGGGCATCATGTCCTGTGAGGATAATGGGAGAACAAAAAGTTGGAGTAAAGATTGGTTAGCTGAAGTTACAAATCTTGTATATGTTTTATATATTACCTTTTGTTTGTTTGTGTATGTTATAGAAAATCTAAAATTTAAGTGTGTTGCTACAGAAAAAGTACAGATGACCTGATGTTACAGCAGCTTCCCAGGACTTTAGTGGCACATCCGTGACTGATTCTGTAACACATTTAGTTCTGTAGACATAAGGTGCATAACTTCCATTTGATTGAAGAAATAATAATTATAAATGTTCACCATCAAGTGTCAAAATGCTGATTTAATACTAGAGGCATCTGAAGTTTAGCGTCCTTGTCAGAAAAAAAAATCCTAATTACCCCAGTAATCTGGTAAAATCGTGGTTTGTCCAACTAGTTTAATGAAAGGAGGTAGGCTTTTTCCACAGAGTGTAGACAGCTTGTCATCAGCAAAGCTGTAGTTTCAGTTAGAACTTGGAAAGAAAAGACTGTACTGTAGTTTATCAGAAGTGATTTAAAAAGTGTAAGTAGCTTCATTTATCGTGTTCCATACCTAACTGTAATGTCTGTGGCAGACCCACACGCGTGCCCTGCAAGGTGACAGGGCAAAAGTCTTTGAGAGAGACTGCTGAGCAATCAGCAGGAATATTCAGACCACCTCCTCACACAAATTGAGGGCATTTAGCTGAGGCTGTGGAAGACTTTTGGGCTTACAGTGCAGGAGAGCAGCAACTCCAGGCTTTTGAACTTTTTGAACTTTCTGTGACTCTCCCACTTGCTTTAGTCCCACAGTTTTCCTTACCTTTTACATATTAAAATCCTAACCTGTGGTATGTTGAAAAGCCCAGTTGTGTGATATATTGTGCCATGACATAATTGAATATCAGTGCCGGTCAAATGTGTATTTGTTAACCACACATCTACAATTTGCATTCAGCTCTTCTTTTGTCTTTTTAGTTAATGTGGTCAGAGTCTTCTATTTTCTCCTTTCAATGTCATCCAGATAATTGTCAGGCCTCTAAGATTATTTTTTTTGATGGGATCTTTAACCTTCCAGAGTTAAAGAACTGGTTGCATTATGGTAGTGTGCATCACATTACATTTAGATATGCTTAACTGGGAGGTAAAAGCAAAATGTATCTAATATTGAAGATGAGAACTTAAGTATGATTGAAGAAGTAATTGTAGATATTCGAAAGAGCAATAAGAATTAAAGATTCTCTTAAACAAAAGGGCAATAAAAGTCACCTTTGCATAACCTTTGTGTGCAAGGGGTTGCGATCAGGTGAGCAGCTACCCAACCTCCTGTAGTTTCGCGATTTAGAGAAAGATGGGTTGGTGCTGAGGGTACCAGTGATATTTACATGGAGGAGTAGCATGTGCATTGATCTCCTGGCCTGCCATCCTTCTCCTTTAGCTGTCACTGAAACTCTCTGTCTTTCGCCTGTTCTGGATCCTTTCTGTCAGTTCTTCCAACACCTGGTACAGCAGAACACTAAGTCTTCTGGCAGGATGAGCTTCAAGGAGCCCTAACTCCCAGCTGAGTAATAGGATTCTCCTGCTGAAAGCAGCTGGTCTCAGCTCCTCTTGCTGCCAAGTAGTAGAGCTATTTCCAAAAGTTCACATATACCCCTTTGCAACGCAGCCAGATTGAAACCCTTAGGCTATGAGTACCCAAAATCCTGGTTTTTAATTTTGTTTTTATTTGGGGCAGAAAAATTTATTAAAAATGTATCTTTTAAAGGGGGATGAGGACAGGGACAAAAGGATATGTTTCTTCAAGTCCTGGCAATGGGACAAAAAAAGAGAGTCTAAAAATCCAAGAAGTTACATGCAACTTAAAGTTCTGGTACTTAATATCTTGGGATTTGATGGCAACATTCCCTGAAGAATAAAGCAATCTATTTGTCACTAAAATGGAGCTAAATTTAAACAGACAACCATCTTACATATACTATAATATTTTTAGATTTCTATGCAATACTGTATGTCCTGGTAATGATCATGGGAAAAACGAATGGTAAAGTGATCAGAATAATGAGAGTATTATAAAGATTTTTGAGAAGATGGAGGCTTGAAGGAATACACATTCTGCAGTGTGATGAGATGAAGTTGCACATGCCATTAAAGCACTTTAGTTTAAAGGGATAGATGGAAGGTGAGGGCTGGGGAGATGATGGGATGGGGCTGAATCTGTATTTAGAGATACCTGTCTTTATCTGACTCTACAGCTGGGTGCTGATTTTTGCCTTAGAAGGCTTACATTTTGTTTGCATATGTATATTAATGCACTTATCTGCTCTATGCAGCAACATATACAGAAGTTCTTAGGAATAATTTATCATGCAAAGTGAAATGTCTACGTCTCAGAGGGCACAACTGGCAGATATCTTGTATGCAAAGATGTTACGTACAAATTAGATTCATGAGTTTTACTTTCTATCCTTCAGGGAACAACCCATCTACAGCACCCGAGCTCACGTCTTCCAGATTGACCCAAACACTAAGAAGAACTGGGTTCCCACCAGCAAGCATGCTGTTACTGTGTCCTACTTCTATGACAGCACAAGAAATGTCTACAGGATAATCAGTTTGGATGGCTCAAAGGTAAGCTTTGTTTCAGAAAACTTGCTTGCATCATCCTTCATGTATCTTCTCAGATGCCTCTGTCATTATCTGAGTAGCAGATTACTGACATGTTAAAATGATAGCATTGCCTTCGTTACATGTTTAAGTGTTTATTTGAAAATACTATTTTCCGTGCATTCATGTTTACTTTGATAAATCTATTGCTGAATTTAAGTGATGACTTGTGCTTTGTGTTATGATCAGGCTAGAAAGGCATTCCCTGTGAGTGGCACTGAAAAGTGCAAATAGGGTTAGGATAACCTGTTTTCATTTCCGCTTTCAATGACCTATCAATATCATTGGCTTCAGTATTATGAAGGACATCTGTTGGGTGCCCATAAGCACTTAGTAAATCCTTGTTTGTTACGTAATCTTCCAATTTTTGCTGTAGAGAATGTGAGGATTCCCTCCTAATAAAGCTCCCCATGGTAAGCTTTTATCAAAACTCGATTTGTTGTGGGTTTGGGTTCATTTGGTTTTGGTTTGGTTTTTGTTTTTTTTTTCTTTTAATTAGGAAGGATAATATGTTGAGCTGCTGTTTTAAGAAACCTTGTCTAAGAAATTAGATCAATGTGGTGAAAATATTTCACTGTTCCTTAAGTTCTACCCCAAGTGGGTAGAAAAACAGCAACTTTAAAAACAGCATATCAGAAATCTCTGCAATAAGAACATTAAAGATACACAGAGTGCAGTAAAAAGTTGTAATCCTTTCATTTGCAGCTTCTGGAGATGCATCAGTTCATATTGGTTGGAACTGAAATACTCTGTTGGAGTGTTGCAGTATTCACAGAGATTTTGCCTCTATTTATTGAAAACTGACAAATATTACCCTCCTTTTTTAAAATATGCAGACTATTGCTATTTTAAATTAGGAAGGAGACATTCTATCATAAAGAAGTATGTAGAAATATCTCACAGTCAGAGATCTCTGTATGATACTACTTTACTACTTTACCAGATTGAGACTCTGGTATCAAAGCCTACCAGTATTTTTCTCAAGTTTAAGTCTTACTTTGTTTCTTCCCTTCCCAGACTTCCTTCAAATGATTTTTTTTTTTTTTTCCAGTTCTGTCAAATTAAAATACCTTTTATCAAATAGTTAAAATACCATTTATGTGACATTTTATTTTGGGATTGGAACTAGATACTGTATGTAATCAAGGCTACCACTTGTAATCTGTAACAGCTTAACTGATCTGCACTGTTTACAAAATCCTTTTTCTGGTATATGCTGGAGTTCCTCTGCCTTTGTCCAGAGCTGTAACTCCTGCAATGTGGCTGCTGAGTTAAATTGTCAAGCAGTTGTTCATCTCTTCATTTGTTGTTTTGCCTACTGCAGCATTTCCTTTGCATTTGCAGTGTTATTGGCAAGGTATATTGATAATGTAGTCTATCACTTTTATTTACTCTCCCCGTGATTACTGCAATCCTAATAATGTTTTCATCCAAGTGTTAGATGTCTGAATAAGATCTAGGATCCCAGTCATGATTAAGAAAGACCCATTGTTTCAGACATCACAACAGTGCTCTGAAATAGCAGGGTGGCCCATGGAAGAATTTTAAGCAGGTTTTCAGCACAATTCCCAGAGATTGTTTTTTATTTTTAATTAAAGCCCCATCTTTTTTAACATGTCTGCATATATGAAGTATAGTATGGACAAAGGGCTAAATATAAATATAAAGCATTCTTAAGTTTGGAATGCATCCAGATAGCATGTCTGCTATATGTCATATAGCTGAGTGTCAGTAACACTGCTAGCATCGGAGCTTGCAGTGCCTTTTGTTGTTGGTTGGTCAGACAGAACTGTTAAATTTGCAAAAGAGAAAAAGCTATGCAATTTAATTCTCCCATTTTAAGTTTTGAAATTAAATTGAATAAATGATTTTGTGGGTTTGGGGTTTTTTGTTTTGTTTTGTTTTTTAAAGAAAATGTACATAAAAAATGTCTCAAATATACATGTTGCCAGTGGCCAAAAGCTGTCGTGTCCCTCCCTTGGAGGTAATAGATATATGATCCAGCCAGGTTTTATGGTAAACCTTGGTGCTGATGGGGTTTAGAGCACCCTGTGGGTTTGTACAGACTGCAGTTAGGAAAGTTTACTTTATATTTGAGTGATAATCCTATTTCTGTCCCACAGCCTTCCTTCTCTTTAGGTCAGTGGGTTTCAGTAGGGTTCCTGGATAATATTGAACGTCCGTACTGATTATCTGAACATCATTAAATGTTTCATCTTGAAAACAAAAGGACATTGTAAAGACATGATCTTCACTCACCTCTGAGAGGGCAAGAAATTGAATTTTCTTGTGTGGGTCTTTGGTGTATTTTGAGAGAGGGTTTTCTTTTTTCCCTTATTCCATATCAATAGGTATGAGCCAGACTCAGCTGAGGTAGGTCTTAAAGAAGCAAGTTCTACTTATTTTTAATGTGTTCTGTGCAATGTTGTTTTCTGAAGCAGTCTTCTCTTAAAATACCTTGCACAAGAAATGGTGCATCTCCCTCTAACCTGACTCTAGAAAATGTTCTAGGACATGTTCAGTGTACAGACCATATTTTAGAGTCACATACAGTATCTGGGTTGCTGTTGCCCGTGTCAGGGAGATCCTGATGCAAATAATCTGATAGCATTCAGGGTTGTTTTCTGTGACCTCTTGAGTAAGGATCTTTTATGTGACCTTTTTCTCCTACCACTCTAGTAATCAAGCGAAAGCCTGAAAAATAAAACTTCTTATGCAATATGACATGACAACATTGAGCAGTTGTTGCTAAGGCTTTCAGTTCTCATTAATTATATAGTCATTTCATAGCTCCTTGTAAAAATGTGTTTTAGTACTTCTTTCTCCTAGGTGATGAAAGGAAGCCTCCATTATTTCTCCAGTAACACTGCAGGCAGACACTAGGATTATTCCCAGAATCCTGCTGTCTTTTCTGTTCAATCTCTGGCAGTCACTGAGAAAAGAAAAGAGATCAAGTAATGTGGTCCTGCAATACTAATTAACTCTCTGAAAATTTTTTCACAGATGCAAGAAAGGAAAAAAAACCCTAACAATTTGTTCTCATCTAAACCAAGAGAAGACTGGAAAAGAGTGGTTTTCCAGTCTGTAGGTTCCATGACCTTTTGTATATATTATTTCTGAGTCTAGTCTCTCATCAGTGTTACTGCGATAGATGATCTTTACATTTTCATGACTGCTCTAAAATAAACTAGTCACACACTAAAGTGGTAACCTTTTTAATGCTAAATACAGTTTTTAAGTAAGGCCTGTAAGCACAGTTCTCCAGTGATCTTCCTTTGAAGAAGTTAAAAAATACTATGTGTTTTAATTATTATTGCCATCAATTTTAGCACAAGATTAAATCTTACTTGACCACAGCTGTGTATCTTGCACTTGTTGGGTTTGCAGTCAGTAAAATGAACAGCTAAGACACATGCCCTATTTTCTCATAGCTAAACTAATATGAAAGGAAAACATGAAAGCTATTTCATTATTCCAACAAAATCTAAAGATAACAAAATCAGCTTTCTTCAAAAGCTAAATGTCTGCCTGTCAGATTGACTCTGTTCTGTTTTTCAGATATTCTTGTATATTTATACTAACAACATTCTTAAAATTTGCTGAAATATTTGACACTTGTTTTACTGGTAACTCTACAGTGAAGTCTGGTGCAGAGGGGAACAGTTAAATCAGCACCTATTTGAGTAGACAAGACAGGCTGAATTATAAATTCTAACATAAAAAGAAATCTTTATATTTTTTTTATCTGAAGATACGAGGGATTCATATCTAGTACTTTTGCAAAATAGCTGACACTGACTGTATCTGTACTGTGGCCTAGCATTGCACTTTTTAAACTTTCAATTTAGCAGATGAGACATCTCGCATACTAATGCGAGAGTATTGAGAGCCTTGATTTCCTTGTAAAACTCGCAAATCTAATGAAAGGACTGTATTTTTTTCTGTCAGTGAGATCTGAATGTAGTCTTCCCAGTGAGAAACCTTCTGGTTTTGGGCTAATACTCTCCACTGGAGGGAAGCGTCCACATTTTTCTCTGCTGGAAAATAAAGGGAAGAATCACAGCAACTCTTTCTCAATACAGTTGTTTTTTTTAAAATGTTTTCTTCTTACCTTTCTCCCTTGCAAGGAAGCAATTTGTCAGTCACTGTAACCCAACCTAACTGCAGACTGCTGTCGAAACAGATATCCCATTCTGGTCCAGGCAACCTGGTCTGGGTTCTCTCGTGCAGCCAGCCACGTGGTCAGCTGAAGCAGCGAGCAGTCTCAGCTAAAAATTGGTTGGTTTCTCCAAGGCTTTTTGTTGGGTTAATTTGCAACCAGATATGCCACTGTCACTACAACAAATGCCGGTCCTTCAGACTTTAAACTTGTCTGTTGCTTGGAGGCCGTAAGTCCCTGTCCTCAGAGTTGTCTTCTGCATTGAGGAAGTTACATCCAAGACATAATGTGCACGCTCTCAAATCTGTGATGTAAGTTCACATTAATCAAGCAGTGGATGGAACTGGGGCCTAACCGAGCTAGACAACATAGCTAGAGCTTGAGTTGGGAGGAAGATTTTTTTCTACACTGTCCCCAGGATATTTAATTTCAAATGTATTACTGTTGACGGCTTCCACAGCAAGGGAGATTGAGCATTAAGTGAATTTGCACAGCTCTATTCTGGGCTTCCACTAGGTTATTTCAAAGGAGGGCTTCCAAGTCCTAACTCTGCATAAGAAGACAAGAGCGCACAAGCAAAAAGAGCTCCAGAACACCTGCTTTCCAAGAAGTAGACCTCCCCATCTCACATTATCTCTTCTGTCCTATGTGGCATGGACAGCTGATTTCTGTGAGGTCAGTTGGAGGCCACAGTGGTAGTGCAAGCCTGCAGGCTTTATTTGGGCTCCAAACCTTATGCGTCAGGAAAGGAGAGTGATGTTTGAATTACCAATGTCTTTGCTGACCAGCTTCTCCTATATGAAAATCTGAGGAGATGTTTTGTGAACAATTAATGCTGGAGGTGGATCTCCAGTCTCTGATCACACAGCATGCATGTCCTGTCCTTAACCCGAGGAGGCTTGTTGTTTCAACTGTAAGCTTTCAGGCATTCCAGAATTTCCCAGTTCACGATGGTAGCCAAAACTTGCATTTTGAAGCAAAGGTTGTCAGAGAGGACTGCCTGTTTGATATCCTCCACTACATCCAGATTTGCTCTTCTGATTTAATGCAAGTATAGTGGAGCTACCAAAGCCATTGCAGAAGATGCCAGTTTTGTTAAATTCGTCTGTACTGTAGTGTCTTTGCTTGTCTTTCTACATGTTGTGTTACAATGTGTTCTTCTGAACTTTTTTGCAATGATCCTCTTTGCCACTTCATCTGGGAATCACTAATTGGACATGGAAACTGTTTGTGAACTTAGCTTGCCTCTCAGCTGTGGATTTTCCAGGCATGTCCTGTAGAATTCCGAGAAAATTTTATGTTGGTGGCAGCTCTGCTCCAGTGCTTCCCAAATATCAGCAAAAGCAAAGGGTGCTAAGTCAACTCCATAACTACTCATTTTAATATCCACCCAGAAGGTCATCTCACACAAGTAGTATAGACTGATTTTGACTTCTAGAAGTTCTCGGGCTTGGGAGGGGAACACTTTGCCTCTTTGATGTTGAAGTTTCTCACTGTCACCATCTTGAGAAAATACTGTTATTCTCTACACATCTGTTCAGTTCCTACTATTCAAAGAATAAAAGGAAGATTCTGTTATTTACAACAGAGAAGATAGTTTGGACCTTGGGGATTTTTTGCTGCTCTAAGTTTCTTCAGTAATCAATGGCTTTGAGCTGCCAGAGGTGAGGCAGGGGTTATAGTTTCATGGAAGCAGGAAACGTGCACGCTGATGTTCAAAAGATTCCCAACTTGGTAGTGTAAGACAATTGCAGTAGGTCACATACTGACGGTTCTTTGGAGCACAGTAACTGGCGTGTAAGAAAGATTCTTGCTGAATTGTTCTGCTTGCAATGTGTGCTATTTTCTGCGAAGTTTTGAGGACGTTCTCTTTCACGTGGGTGTTAGAAAGCACCAGTGGTCAATGAAAAGGCCTGTGAATTACTTAGCAATTGTAGCTGAAACTCTTCGTAGCACAAGACAGATGAGAAAGCGTGCCACACTTCTCTTCAAATACACCTATCTTTGGGTTTATGGCTGGTTTTTGTTGTTCATGTTGGCTGGTTATAAACTGTACTAACTATCAGTTTTCTAGTTAAATGGAACCCATTGGTGTCACTATAAGATTTTATCCTGACGTACTTTAAGTCAGCTGGATAGTGCCACATCGCAGATTTAGAGTACTTTAGGCAAACTTAAATGTGATGGAAATACTGTTGAAATCTGTGATAAAACCCTAGCTGCTTTTAGTGGAACCAGCGTATCATCTAATAATTGCATTTTTTGTTACATTACCAGGAGTGGTATGCTGGAGGATATGCTTCTTCTGACCTGTATATAACAAGAACTAAAGAAAACACATTCTAAGAGTAGCTCTTCTATAGTTCGTGTATGACCCTGTCATTGTTAGGCATACTTGTGTGTGTATAAAGGAAAAATAGATTATTGTAATACAGAAACTTAAAAAGAAATTGTGCTTCTTGTTTTATTGCATATTTTCCAGCGAGAGTCACATATAAAACAGGGGTGGGGGAACACAAAATGAAGCTTATAGTGGAGCTTAAGAGCCATTGCCTTAGGGGACAATAAAATACACTTGTGAGACAAAAAAGGACTTTGCTAGGTCTTCTATTCTGATCTCATTAGCCTATGCAGATGCTTTAATGGACTTTTTTTAGACTTGCTCAGTACTAAATGACTGCTTACAAACAGGTTCCCCCCCAGCTTTTGCTCCTTTTACGGATTGTATGTGAAAATACATTTTCATAATTTTAGCTTTGATTGAATTAGAAGAAAATTGTTCCCTCTTTCCTAGTTTGTGTCTCATTCAGTGTACACAGATACTTGTCTACAGTATTGGAATTTCAACTTTGAGTAGTTTTAAAAAAAACCATCAAAATCATAAAACCCCCTTTTTACAACTATTACTTTTTTTCAGGCAATAATAAATAGCACTATCACCCCCAACATGACATTTACTAAAACATCCCAGAAGTTTGGCCAGTGGGCAGACAGCAGAGCGAATACAGTCTATGGCTTGGGATTTTCATCTGAACATCACCTTTCAAAAGTAAGTATGACCAGTGGCAACCAGTATGAATAGTGGCAACTACTCAGCTAGTCAAGAAGTTTAACAATATTTGATTCCTGCTCGTTGTATTTTGACTCAGTGCTCACTATTGTTATTATTGAAAAATAATGTACAAAAAAATCTTCTATATTGATCCTTATAATGTAAAAAGGTAAGACAAAGTGTGATACCTGCAAATTTTATTTTACCTGAGAGAGGAAAGGAGGGAGATTTAGACTATCATAGTGTGTGTTGTTAACGCTTTCTAATTATTTAATTTTTAGGTTTCTCTTTTTTAAAAGTTGTTCTTCCATTAGACTTCTTCATGATAGAATTTAAAGGAGTAGAAATTTAGTGTTTCTTTTTTATCTAGATCTCTTAGAAAAAAAATTGTTGGTCGTCTTCAGATGAGTTTTTGTCCTTTAAGCCACATTCACTTTCACTTTTCTATTGTGTAGTGCATCAAATTACAGCTAGTTCAACACCTGAAAGCTTAAAGTAAAGCTAGCATGAAATATATTCAGTGTAAAAGAAAACTACATTTTCATGTTGGAATCCAGAAGTTGAAATGTTTACTGAAGAAACCCTATGTCATACGTGAGGGTTTTTTTCTGGTCTATTTGTGCAGGAGGGCAGTACATCTTATTCTGAGGGAAGCAGTAACCCCTGCTTAGTTCCTCTGAGTGCCCTTCCTACAATGCCTGTTGCTATTCATACCACTCTTGTAGATGAGTCCAGGAACCTGTAAACATTTTTCTCCAGATGAGAAATTTCAGTTCAGTTTAGGAACATGTCTCTACATTAAGCAGAGGATCTTCATCTTTGAAGTATACAAAAGATCTGAAAACCCGAATGAAATAAAAGGAATGTATATTACATCTTTAAGTAAGGAATGATTGGCTTGTTATGTAAAAAGAGATAATGGGACCAGCCCTTTTGAGAAAGTAATTGTCACTATCTAAGGATAAGCATGGGCCTATTAGAAAACTATTAAAATGAGTACATCTGCTTTATTTGAACAAGTGTTACGCTTGTAAGATTTCTTCCTTTCATAATCAGATAGCATTCATTTCCACAAAGCAACACAAACACGGGAAGTTCCAAATGATACTAATATTGCATTTGTGTTTGTGTGCCTACCATTGCTTCAGTGAACTTGGAAACTTTGACACTTACTTAAACCGGTTGTGCCTAAAGGCACTTGGTTACCAATGTGCTAATAACTTTTCTTAATATTTCAATGGATTTATCATAAACACTAATTTATTTTACCTCTCTCATAAGCTTCTTTTCATTAATCACAGAATGACTCTTTGGAGGCAAAGTATCATGCTGTAGTCATGATCACTCTCTGTTTGCCTGACTTTAAACATTAGGTTGTCCTTGCTGGTGAAAATATTTTGGGATTTTTGTCTGTCCTATCCTTGACTCTTGTCTTGCTCTCCCCATACAGTACTTACTGCCTTCTTAATTACAGTTGTCTCCACTCTATTCTTTCGCTGCCCTCAAATGGATGTCCAAGTATGCCCTTGGTTTAATCTGAAAAGCAGCAGTAGATATTTTGCCTCAAGTATGGGTTTGATTAGCAGTTGCTCAGGTTGCTGTGTTTTACAAAGAACACACAAATCTATTGAGAAAACTACCAAATCATGAACCTTTTCTGAAGCTTATACTGATGAATCTTTGGGACTTTTTCAGCAAACTGTTCATGATGTATCTTGATTATCAAACTGACATTCATGTGAGTTGAAATCGCTGTTTGTTGCTACTGAAATTCATAAATGTAAAACTTTTTGTGTTACTTTAAAATCTACAGACATATTTAATGGGGGAAAGCAAACTTTTCCTTAGATTACAGACTATTCAATCACTGGAATTCATAGATATGTTGGTCTTGGAATCAGAAAAGCTGAATTAGAAACCGAGGATCTCCTGTGTAGCTTTAGAGAAATCACATTTATATTGTCCTCCTTGTCTTATCTCTCTGCTCAGATTACTAACTCTTACTTCTGTGCACTGGCATTGTAGTCAGGTTTACCAGACCACTCTTAGGTGCACCTGGCATTGTAGGATATGAAATCTAATTCAGGGCTCAAATACTACTGGATATTAGTAATAGGGTTAACAAATAAATTGTATGAATGGATTTGTTCAGAAAGAGGTTGCTTCTAAAAACTACCTTAAAAATGAGTTCTGGAACTTCTTTTCTGTATTTGATTTATCAAATTCCTTAGGTGTTACATACATCCTGTTGTATGTAACTTGTTTTGCAGTAGTGTCTCAGGGCCCCAGTGAAATATTTCCAGTTCTGGGGAGCAGAAGACAGCCTGCAACCACAAAAGACTTAAGTCTAGTCTGTGACTGATTTCAACAGGTTAATGAAGCAAATAATCAGAGCAGATACAATAAACTATTCTCAGGTCATTGTCTGCTTAACTTACAGTAAATGTTTGACTTTTGGGTTATGTGTTTTTGGTTCAAGTGCCTTTGACCTCCTGAACTAGTTACTAGGGTAGAGTGCAACAGCAACCTCTTTCCGCACAGTTACTGTGACTGAGAATTAGTGGAGTGAGAATAACTGATAGAAAAATAATGGCACTCTAATCAAATTCACATAGAAACAGTATAGAAGAAAATTAATTAAGCATTTATTTGTCTTAATTAAACCTTTTCTCAATATGTCAGACCACAAATTCATCTCAAGGTTGTTCCATCAGAAGTTAGAGGTACCTGAAAGATGCTTTCTACGTCGAAGAATATTCCTTTCACAGGATCAGGATTTGCAAGCAGAGTCCCTCTTGCTGCTGCAGTAGGAGGAACAGAATGTCCCATGGTTTTCAGAGAAAATGGAGATTCTTTTCTCAATTAGAATATAAGTCTGTGGTTTTGGCAGTATCCTGATCTATGAGAAAAAAATACTCCTTTTCAGGTTTGCTCTCTGTCGTACTCTTTTGAATTAGTTGACCTGATTTATTCTGTGTGACTCAAGAGTATGGTAAACGGCAGAAGTGCCACCACAGATACCTGGAAGAGCCCCTGGTAGTCTCCGTGCACCATTTTTCATCTTTTCGTTAAACTACTAATCCTCTAGAGAACCTTTCCTTTCATACCATGAACTCTCAATGGCGTTATTTATTTATCCATCACCTAACTACCAAAAGGCATTCTAGTAAACTTGTGAAAATTTCCACTACATTAGTCTCGTTGGCTCTTTCTTAGAGTGTTATCTATTTATCTATTATATATATTTTTACAGTTGCTACCACTGTGATACAGAAGGTCGCATTTAACACCTTGTGTATCTTTAGCCATTAATTCTAAACCTCAGCATCATGTTTACCATTTACTAATCCTCTGATCTTAAAGCTGATTTAAATAATAGGTTACCCATCAGATTTTGAGGTCTGTGTACAAGTCTTAAATATCATCTAGTTCTGATCATCTGTTGCCAATTTCATCATCTATTCTGACATGTTTTTTGATGCTGGGTTGATTAGACTTTCAGGGTGGTATCTTTTGCTTCCTTCCATATTCAGGAAGCATATGCTTTTAAATAACCTGGCAGGTGAAATGCAGGATACAAGTGGAGAGAAATTATAATTCCTCAAATATTAATAGACAACCAGGAGAATAAGCTTGAAGACAATACTTTTTTTTAGTCTTGCAGAGCAGATGAAGTTCTGATTGAAAATAGTTGAGGCGGTTGTCACACAAAGGGTAGACTTAGTCCCTTCTAAATACATGCAGTGCAAACCAATTTATTTGTATGCTGTATATTCTGTATAAAAGCAGTGGGAAACAAAACCAAATGCTTGGCTACTGTAGAAATCAGTGTAGTGTGAAGCTGAGATCTATAAGGCCAATTTTTCCTCTAGCCAGAGAAACTAGGCCTCATTCTTAATAAATTGATTTAATGTCTCGGGTTTAAGGGTGCATGTATTTTTGAATTTTTCCTTAACTATTTTCTGGAAAAGGTACATGTACCATAGAAATCAAGCTTCATATGGTATTTCAATGTGTGATTTGTGAGTTTTGTCTTCAGTATATGCAAGTTCTGTGAATTTGTTCATTAACTTGATGGATGTCAGAGAACCATCCAGAAATGAACTCGACTCAGTATTCCCACTGCTGCTTTCCTCATTAGCTATTGAAATTATGAATGCTGTTAAAATTTGGGAAGAAGACAGTATTGATTCAGTCATGAGAGAATGAAGCCCACTGAAAGCTCTAGGCTAATAGTGACCACATTGGGCTTCGGAAGCAGATCATTTTTTGTCAGGAGAAGAGCAAAATGTGAATCTGAGAGAGGCTGTGTAAGGCAGCTTGTCACTACTATTAGTCATCTCTGAGGTGGGGGTTTTTAACACTACAGCAACAGATCAAACTTCGTTGCATCATAATTTTTGTGACATACAAACAGTGTACATTATGTCTGAAAGGTGTATCACTGTGTAAGTCACTAAAATGAGTATCTAATAAGAGAAGAATTAAAAAAATAATCTACTGAGAATTTGACTTTGTAAAATGTTAAGTACAGCATTCTGTTCTGCATGTAATGTACTATTTCACGCCTACTCTTTCTCTTTTTCCTTTTTTTTTTTAAACGTATGTACCTTCAGTTTGCTGAAAAATTTCAGGAATTCAAAGAAGCTGCACGACTAGCAAAGGAAAAGTCCCAAGAAAAGATGGAGCTAACAAGTACACCCTCTCAAGTGAGTCTTATTGCCTGATTCAAGCCTACTGCTTCCTATCTGTGCTACTTACTGTATTGTATCCTACACACATATTGTATTAAAAATGAACTTCTCAGTTGCCCTGAATCGTCTCAACAGTCAGGAAGTCTAAGAATTTGATATACGCTACAGAAGTGTGAAAGAGACTTGCTTTAAAATAAAATTAGCCTTTTTTTTTTACTTCCTATTCCTTTCTTTGAGCTTTCCCCAGAAAATGAGTTAACACGATGAGCAGTTATGTAAGTAAATCCATAGTAAATACTTTCTGTGGATTTTCTTATTGTATCTATGAAACTTCAGGTAAAGGACTGTAAAGGACTTTTATAGAAGAATCATTACAACAAAACCCAAAGTTAAAGCAGCAAACTGTTTTTAGGTATTTCCTACTGTGTACTATTCACTTGTGAAACGTGTTGAAGGAAGATGGCAGATTCACATGCTGGTTCTGGAGTTTTATTGCAGTTAACCATGATGTAAAAGAAGAGTTTATAAATAGTATCTCAAAACATGAACTGAGTTAATATAGGCTTAACAGGAGGATAAATTAATATAGTCACATCTACATTAGTCATGCCTAAAATTAATTAACTTGAAAACAAATACTTTGAATTTGCTTTGAAAAAAGAAATTGCATGAGGCTTTTATGCTATTCCGCTCCCAACCCCCTGCACAGTGTTTCTGGCGCTGTATGTAGCTATTTACTTTATTTTAAGCAATAGTGAAGACAAAGGTAGTTCCTTCTTTGGAGGATGAAGCAGCTATAAAACTACAGCAGGGGTTCCTGAGTTGAGTAGGTTTAATGCAGCTACGTTTTTTTCCGAGGCACTCTTCATTCATTGAATCAGTGCATCTCTTGGGTGCTTTGCACTGTAATGTGCTCCTGATCTTTGATGGAATAGGGATGGCAGGCAGTTTGCAACATGCTGTACAAATAGTTTTATTGCCACCAGAAAGCTAAGTCTGGTGTCCTTCCAACAGAAGCCAGTGGAAACCACAAGAATATACACAATGAACCAACCTCATGTTGTTTTTCCAGTCGGCATTTTGCCCAAGTGCTAGGTTGGCTTTTGCTGTTAACAAGAAACTGCTTGCTCTAATGTAACAGGAGAAAAATAAGGCAGCCTTTTTTGATTGGTTTTCCTGGCTGTCTCTAAATTTCTGATAAATTCCATAAATAAACACAGAGATAATGGAAGTAGGCATTTTGGTATTATGACCTAATATACACTTGGCTTTAGAAACAGTGAAGTGCTTCAGCCAGGCCACTGGTTACTTGGTATTAATAGGCAGAACAATTATTCTGCTTCTGTTTTGACATGTTGATTAACAGTCTGGACTCAGAAGTTAAATCTAACACTGTCAAATGGAGTGACTTATTATTTTGTTTGGACATAAATTTGAACTACTCGCTCAGAGACAAGATGCTTTTGTCTAGCAGCTGCCCAGGGTTAAAGCTTTCTCTTAAACTATACGAGCTATTAATATCGTTCATTTTCCTGTACAGATTTCCTTTTGTACTTGGAACCTAACATTTTATACTGTAGGCAGTTACAGAAATGTTACCTTGAGTGATTCTATAATGCATGTTGAGAGCTGCAATTTAATTACTGCATGCTTAGGAATAATTTCATATTCAGGCCTTACTTTTCATCTCATGGCTTTTTGCTGTGTTGATAAGTTAGCGTATTATTCTGAAAGATGCAGTTAGTGCAAGTGCTGACACATCAGCATAATAGTCTTCACGTACTTAATGCTTCTCATTAGTCCCCCAGAGAGAAGGGAGTTGAATCAGGAACTTCGGAGCTGGGAGCAGATGAGAAGCGATGGCTTCATGCAAACTGCAGCACTTCCACAGTGCTGGGGCTCGTTCAGAGAGATCTGACTGTGGGGAAGATGGGTGCTTGGTAGCAGAGGGGGGAAGGTGGGACCCTAGACACATTTGAAGGATCACTTGCTGTCATTTTGATCATCTGCCAAAAAGGTACTGGAAGTCAAGTGTGGCCTTTCTCAGTCATTTTGCAGCTCCTCTTTCCCTTTTTGCATAGTGATCCTTTGCAGAGAGGGAGAGTAAAAGGAGATATTTTCAGTGGCCAGACAAGACTTCACAGGAACCTGGCTTTTTCAGGAAGCTTTGACAAGAAAGGCATTGGGACGTAGTGGGTGATTAATGAGCTCTACAGTGGTAACCCAGTTAGCTACAGGTGTCAGTCCCTCTGCTGTCTTGGACTTGCAGATATCCTTCTGCCTTAAAGCAATAATAGGTAAAAACTGGGAAATATACATGTCAAATGTAAATAAAAGGTTAAATTTCACTTGCTTTTAAAAATGCTCTTATTATTTACCAGTTAATTAATGTACCAGATATAGTACATTGCCTACCCTCTCTGCTACACAGTTCTAAAAGATAAAAAGTACATGTGCTTTTTTCTGCATTCAGTACGTCCCTACAGATTGAACCTTGATTAAAGTATCTCTGCAGCTAGTGTAACAAGAGCCTGGACAAGGTATTTGCTGTTCACGGTTGTTTGGTGTAACCCCGCAAATACTGCTGGTATTGTGAGTTTCAATTCTGGATGTCCTGCAAAAATTTGTTGTGAAACTAAGGAGAAACTGAAAGCAAGAGGTAACAACAGAAATCTTACATCAGTAGAACATGAATTTGTATTTCAAGTACTTACCCGAGTTAGCCACATCAAAACTTAAGAACAATTGTATCTACAGTTCACTGAGGTTGGTGTTACAAGCTCTAGCGAAGTGTTGGTACTACTTGGCTAGGTATTTCCACCAGAGAAGTGCCCCAGTGGCCAGGAATACTCAACCCATGTTTCTTTATTCTTTAGCTTTTTTTTGTGTTTGTCTGTGTGGGAAACATAGTAGAAAGAAAATAATACATAGCCCAGTTTGCAATTACTTAATAGCAGGAGATCCTTTTCCCCTAAGCTATACTGCTGCTAATTTTAAACACAGCATTCTTACTGTTTCTTTAATACTGCCTGTTCTCCTATTTACCAGCAGGCTTTGCTTTAATTTCCCACAACATCAGATAATATATAAAATCACCATTAACATTGACTGTAAAAAGAACTTAAACTTGTCCAGAGAAAGACGGTGGCCCGGACCAACAAATTACAAGAGAGAGGTTGCTTTGTTATATGTACGTCCTACTGAGTGCACAGTGCTTTCTTGAAACGGAGAGGGAAGCATTGTTTCTGTTTCAAAGAACTTTCGACCCTTTTGTGTTAAGATGAATTCATATAATAATACACACTTTATCTATTTCTGGTATGTCTGGTGGCTTCAGCCTAGGAAGAAGTTGTCTATTTTGATACTTCTAAGACCACCTATACACATAGGTACCCCGTCTGGTGTCTCTTTAATTCAGCCTTAGGTAGTAAAGCTTTGCAAGGCTCTTATCTTGTTTATATAAAACTAAAATACTGGCTTCCCTGCTGTGCCACCTTCTATTTCCCAGACCCATCTTTTATTATAGGGAATTATTTTGGTTGTGTCATAAACTCATGGATCTTACAGTGACAAGCAGCCCATAGTCCATTTTCCATTACGAGCTTGCCTATGCACTGAAAAAGCAACACTTTGATCTGAAGGTCACCGAACTGCAGGAACTGATAGCCTGAAAACTGCCCCTTCCCTCCCCGCCCCCCCTTTTTTTTTTCTTTTTTAAACTAATCCTAATTAGGTTCAAGTACAGAACCAAACAGAGCAGTTTGTGGGGTTTGCAGTCTTACCCCAGCAGTCTTACAACCACCTGGAGCATGAAGGTCAGTTCTTTTTCTCCAAGCAAGAATCTGTCCAAAGATACTTCTTTGACCCCTGTCATTTCAGATTAATTTCTGAAATTGTGTGGTAACTTGCTCAAAATAGTTCTGTCTGTGATTCTGAGCCCCTCCTATGGAGGCAGTTAGGCATAGCTATTGCCTGAAAAGTTTCAGAATCACAACATTTTTTTAGTGTAAGGAATAGGTTGGTGTTAGCAAAATGGCTTTTTCTTTGTAGAAGTAAAAAATTTACTTACAAAGCTTATGGAAAATTAGCCCTCTGAGATGTTGTGTGAATTTCAATGCTGGAACAAATGTTTCACATGTGTTATGGTGTCTGAATCAGTAGCTGGCAGACTCACACCATTGCCGGTCAATATTGAATAGAGAAGCACTATGAAGAACACCAGTGCCAGGGAAGTGTATGGAATACTTAATGAGAAAAAAGTATAATACTTAATAAGAAAACAAACTGGAATTGGTTTGGTTTGCTCATGATTATAGAACCACCTACTCCTCCTGTTCTTCTGTTCCATATCTAGTCATCATTAAAAGGTGGCTTGATCTGTGCTGTGAAGTCTGTTTTACTTTACTGTTTTGTGAGTGCATGCATTTTGCTTATAAGATTTTGAAATGAATTCCCCTCTGTTATGTTTATTTTATATACGGTAGGCACTGTCATTTTTATACTGCTTGGCATCACCTGGGTCCTGCATTAGTAGGGCCAGAGCTCCTTCAGATAGTGCAGATCTCTGACTAACTCTTAAATAGCAGAATATACCTGTGCCAGACTTTCATATTTACTTGTCATGTAGAAAAGTACTAATCTTCAGTCCATGTGTAAGTCCGGGACTGGTGAGTGACTTAAAGTTCAATATCCTTCAGAAACCTATATATGATACAATAGCGGTTTTATACCACAGAAGAGCAGATAATCCTTTCTTCTGAAAGGTATGAAATACCTATTTGTAGCTGTCATACCTGGGAAATATTGGGTCTTAAAATATAGCATTGATTTACAGGAGGACTTGTCATTTTCCGTTTAAGCACTGTTTTTCCATATAGTGTCTATACAGTTGAATGTTAGAACTCAGTTAACCTGCTCTCCCAGCTAGAAAGGAAAGGTGAAAATCTCTTTTTTAAGCTGACCTCAATTTCTTCCCCAACTCTGTAAAGTCTGGAGTGGACGTGTGAAGCTACAATGGTACAGAATAAAAACTTCGTTACATATTAACATCTCAAAAAAGGTTTCTAAAATCCTTTACTCTCTCTAATTAATGCAAAATGGGAACATACTATTTGTAAGCATTTGCAAAAATTGTGTTCAGTGTAAGTGGCTATTTCTGTTGTCTTTCGTGCTTTACTCATATCTAGCTTCATTATAGTTGGCTGCAGTTAAATTATTAATCAGGCAGGGATAGTTGTGAGTGTGTGAAAGCACTGATTAACCTGTATTATTGGTGGAAGAAATACATAGTAGAATCTGATGCTTCTCTTTTACATACTAAATCAGCCCCTCCTGAATTTGCAGGCAGTGAACCTCTAGGCATTACATAGACTAGGCTGTTTATCTGCATTAATTTTTGGCACTTAAATTTTATTCATATTAGAAGTCTATGAAAGTGCTTTACTGAAATATAAGCCTAGATGGAACTTGCACGTTTGGTTTTCTTCACCTAAATCATTTTTATGCATTCACACTTAAAACATTTTAATAAGTGGGGTCTGCTTTATGTATCTAGTAATAGTGTTGTAGGAATGTTATCTTAAAGATACAAACCATTAAGATTTTTTAGGGTATGGTATGTATTTTTTTAAATATCTCATGTAGCTTGAGAAAAGGAGGAAATAAAAGAGAAACTCTTGGGTCCATAAAGGTTTTCATTTAATGTCAGAGGAAACTATTTGTCAAATCAGAAGGTAATAATAGACAAACCTATGTAATTTCTGTAAAATAACTCATTTGCCTGATTATCTTGCCAACTCTGCTCTACTTTCACACTTAATTTCAATTTCATTTAAGTTCAGTAAAATTGTTATGTAAAAATCAAGAATTAATTTTGACTGCTAAAGTATTAAGACTAAAGGTAATAATTTTAAGTATAAAATAACAACATTCTTCCTGAAAGTGGGTAACAATTTGCATTCATATAATATTAAAAAAAAAATATTATAGATAACAGTTTACATTTGTAGAATTAAATCTGTGTAAGCTAATTATTTCTGCTTTTCAATCAGCAGGAACGTAATAAGTTGCAGAATGGAGACACTGGCCCATGTGCATTGTATAACTTGATGAACGCTAAATATAATAGAAGTGGAAGCCAGTATTAAAATGTTGTGTCATCCATTAATTCAAGTTGTAGAGTGAGGTACCTATATCTCACTATCTTGTAGGATCATGACCATGACTTTTAAAGGTCTCAAACTATTCTATGACTGTGCTCTTCAGATACTTTGCAATTCCTTCTGAGATGGACACTCTGCATAGGAAGCCAAAGAATGGCAAAGAGCTGTGAAGAGGAGCTGCTGGCTTTCCAGAGACTGTGCTAGTGCTTCAGTTTAATAGCATTCAATAACAGCTTTATCTATTCCCCATGCAGAAGGGAAGAAGGCTGTATGGCTGTAGGAGATGCTTAGTTTTTGGAAATACTGTAATTCAGCCAGTTCTATGCTGTATAGACACCCCTTCATGACATCTATTGAACTCTGTTCATGAAACTCTTCTATCTTAGAGTTACATATTACCAGTTGATTATTAAAAGCCTACTTAGACATTTTAAAATCAAGATGAGCTACTTAGCTTGTTTGACTTGCTTAGCTCCTGCAAAGATCATTACTTGAAAAGGAGTACAATAGGAAAGAAAATACTAAAATAAAATCACATTCAGGGACTGAAAAGCATATAATATTCTACCTTAGGATGTGGACTACATGAGTGTACTTCGTTTTTATCAGAAAGAAGTACATTTCAATGACTAGAAGTTAGCAAATGGTTGGTTGTTGGCCAAAATGCAAATGTACATGTTGCCGTGATGAAGGGTGATTAAAGCCGCACCAGAGGCTTCTGCTGGGAGGCAGCCATGAAGTTTTCAGATGTCCAGATACATAGCAGAAGCAGAAGCTGCCTGGGTGTAGCTGGATTATTCTCCTTCGCAGATAACAACTTGACCAGCAAAAGCAAGGCCAGGCTAATGTGCCTACAAAAGTTCTGCAGGGACTCTGCTGTACCAAGTGTTCTTTGCAGATGGCTCATAGGTGAAGCTGTGAAGGCACCACCAGTGACCCTTCCACTGTTCAATTCGGTTAACAAACAATATGAAAGCTAGAATTCGAAACAAGTATGAGAAGCATTTGTTTCACCATGTTGGAATATGTAGTAAGAGATGTCACCCATTGCCTAATGATGTGAGGGCTGAATATAGCACCAGGTAAGGGTGAGAGGTCTGTAATAAGCGAGAGGCTCCTATACTTGCAAATAATTCATAGATCAATTGTGTTTTGTCCAAGATAATGTGAGTCTTACGGTAATACACTTCCAAATTAAATTCACATGATGAAGTAGGCCCATGAGGGATGCTGGAAATCTGAGCCTCACGTTAGCGCTGCCTAAAATTTGTGTGTCGTTGAAGACTTAATGCTGGTGCTTATATACACACAGCCTTCCCGAGCAGGTCAGTTTGTGATTTTAACATGTTGTTTGTTTTACTTAAGGAATCGGCTGGAGGGGATATTCAGTCTCCTTTAACACCAGAAAGTATTAACGGGACAGATGACGAGAGAGCGACGCCGGAGGTGACGCAGAACTCAGAACCAAGGGCTGAACCAACCCAGAACGCATTGCCATTTACCCATAGGTACAGATTCCATTCCCACATCCTGATTAAGTGATACCTGTCTCCTTCCTTGTTAAAGGGACCTTCTCCCATATTGCGTGGGGGGAAAAAAAACAAACTCAACCCCCCCTGAAAAAGTGGACTGGCTTTCAGATTTGCAATACAATCTTTGTTTTAAAAAAAACCCAAACATGTATGAGAAAATCTCCTGGCATAAGATTTGAGGGAACATGACTTTATAACCAGCTGAACGCGAGCCCTTGAGCACTGGTTAGTGCAGGTGTCCCTTTAACAGGAAGCATTTTTTCGATGTCTGAGGTCTTAGTAAAATTGACTGCTTCATAGAATATTCCAATTAAATTATTTTTGCACACATTCTTTAAATGACTGATAGGACTGGATGTCAGCCTTTCATTGAAGAGTTGTTGGAAGAAAAGGGACTCTTACAACACTTCTGGATTATGAAGTTTAAAGCAGCCTTTAACTGAACAGTTCTCTGACAGTTGAAAACATTTTCAACTTTTTTCAAAATATGAGAGAACTATAGTTGCTTCAGACTGAATTATAATTTGTTGCACTAGGAATGCTGTGCTCTGTCTTTCTTTAAGAAAGCTAGGACTTTCTATTTAATGGTACAGATAATGGGTGAAGATGGATATTTCTCTCCTATTAGAAATAATTGTAAATCGGACACTTTGAATAAAACATATAATGTATTAAGCCCATGGAGAGTAACCAAAACATTTTATAAACTTAGAACAGAGCTAGAAATACTAGATTTATTTTTATAAACATTGTTTGATTCAGTTTAAATAGAGTTTAAGAGCTCTTGATCAGTGGTTGGGGAATACCGGGATGCTAGATACGTCACACAATTCAGAATGAGCAGAGATAGAATTGATATTGTGTAGGATTTCCTGGGGTTTTTTTTGGTAAGAGAATACTACTATTAAATGTATATGGATAAAATAATATACATTTTAAATGAGAAAAAAATTATACTTTTGCACTGATTTTTTTAACAGAGTGATTGTGTTTATTTTTATACTTCAACTGTCACCAGTGCATCTATTACATGTTTTAGAAGAAATGGTGCTTAGTAAGAGAGATCTGTGCATGTTGAAGGAGTATTACGAATGTTGCACATCTATCAGTGTTCTGTAACGAGTTCATTTAAACTGTTCGTGTGTTAGAATTATCTTAACAATACTTTTGTGAAATGGAGTTGTGATAAAGTCCACGAGTAGTATTTGTTCTTTTAAAAAAATAATAGCTGCAAGATCTTCTCTGTTTTTCTGCATATATAAATATGTTTTCTGGTGTGCCAGTATACTAACCACGCTTTGCTCTGCATTCAGCATGACTGAAGATACTTTTTGAAACTACCCAGTTGCAATTTTTGATGGTGTAGAGTAGAGCTTACAAAACTTTTACGTGCTTTGCAATTTTTGATCTACTTCATGTCTGCAGTGTGAGTGCCTGGTTTTATTTTTTTGTCCTGTTTAGTACCACTAGCTAGATTTGGTCTTCCAACAATAACTCTGCATTTTGAGGGTCACTTCTCATGATGATTCTCAAAAGACCAGAGTTTTGTCTTGCTAATGGTAGCTTCAAGTTTATTACTGAGCTATTACTGAAGAAAGTGAAAATGTTTAAAGCCCTTGAAATAAGTTGAGTTTTGGACTAGATAAGGGTTTTATTATAAATAAATAAAGATCATTTATTTATTTAAAATAAATAAAGATACACAAAACGCATGAAAGAGATGGAAAGTGAAGCCTCCAGGATTGTCTTCGTCCTGGTTAAATGGGTGTGGTTTTGTAGAGGGATTTCATAATACTAAATTGGCAACTAGGTAGAGATACCTAGCTGCTTGTGCTGGTTGAAAGAGTGCTCTTTTCAAGAAAAATAAATTAAATTTAAAACCTTACACTGCCATCTTTGGAGACTCCCTGGGCTTTCAATCTGTCAGGGGTACAGAAATGGATTGTGCTCCTCCTTGTTCTCTCTCCTTCTGCTGATGCTGTGTTGGTGGCCCTCGGTGCCTGATGCAGAGGAGCTGCTGAGCTGAGCTCTTTCCCTGTGCACCGTGGTGACTCCTGCTGATCACTCCCTGAGCACCATGTGTTAAGCCAGTGCTTCTGGGTGAGGAGGATAATGCTGGAAGTGTTGTCTTGTGTGTGGTAATGCTTTTTACATATCTGCCTTTACTCCAGGAGCTGCTGATCAATCAGTAGGCGCTTTTCAAAAAAAAAGGCACTGTGGTCCTCCCACCAATGAGTTCAGCTAGAGGGGACATGGGGCTGGCTATGCTTCACTGAAATAATAGTAGCCGAGCAAGTTCATTTCTTCGTAGACAGGAAACCTATCTTCTGCTCTGGTATTGACTGTACATACCTTACGCTGTGAAAGAAGTTGTCCTCAGAGTCAGCTGGGGCACAGGGAGGGCACGCGTGGGGCTGCATGGCAGGAGCCCAGGCAGCCATGGGGCAAGCTTTGGAGCTCTGTGGGCAGCATGAGGTGGGAACTTTGTGGCTGCCCAGAGGGTCAGCGTGCTCAGCTGAGTGCAGGTGACTCTGGCAGAGGACAAAGGGTAAAAGTCTGAAGGGGGCTATTGTCAAAACAGTGATATAGGTAGGGGTTTTTCATGTCTTTGTATGAACTGGAAGCATATAACGGGAGTTAAGAAGGTCAGAAATCAGGTGTGTGGAGGTCATGCTTTGGTCTACATCTTACTACTTGTCATTTTTAATCTGCATACCTGAAAAACATTCAATTTTATTTTGTTGCAATGAGTCCTTGCTGACCAGATATGTCCTCTGCTGACCAGATTTGTCCTCTTCTGCAAGCATTCTTCTCTGCGCTTTGTATGTCGTAGTCTAAATAGCTGGGGCCTGTTATTTCAGCAGCGTAAGTTTAGACTACATTTGTATTCATAGTTATTTTCTGAGGACTTCCACCCAAAAGCTGAAAAACAGCATTAATTAAGTCACCAGAGCTTTGTTATTAGAACTGAAATTTCTTATTATTTCAGTAAATAAGTGAAAGTTTTGAAATGAACATTCTGCAGTGTATGTCTACAATCCAATTCATACCCCACAAGCATAGCAGAACAGAAGTCTAGTTGCTTCAATTTATCCTCATATGGAAAGTCCTAATGATGTTCACAAGCAGTGTAACTCTAGTCAACTGCTTGAGAGATAAGGGTGTTAAACAGTTACAACCCTTGCACAGAAGGTAACCTCTTGCAACTACACATCTTGCCTTTTGTTTAAACTATGATGGTTAATGTTGAATTATGAAGTAATATTACTTGGGAACTCCCTGAGCACTACTTTAATGAGTAAATGTTGCCAGAACAAATGAAGTAAAATGTAGCCTAAGCCTGGCATTAGAATTTAGAATCTTGGCTGAGGCACTGATCAGTCCTTCTCTGAATGATAGCTAGGTTAGGAAGTCTTCTAACAGAACCTAGTTAATCAAACCTAATATTTTAAATAATTAAGATGAAAACCTACACAATTTCATCCTTAGTAAATCTTAGTTTCCACAGACATTCTTCCTTGCTTAAAAAAAAAAATTCCACGTTCTTTAAATTGTGATTTTTTAATATTTTTTTTTTCAAATTAAAACTGTTGATCATAAAATGGGGTTTGGAAGTTGCTAAAAAATATTAACCACTTCTGACGTGACTGGCTTTTAAATAAAAGTATATAATAGTATATGGTTCCTGATCATCTGGATGAATCCAAAGAAATACTATATAAAGCTTCTTCAGCCTTAGAATATAATTCAAATATTAAAACTGAATGGTGTATCTGGCAAACTGTGCAACTGCTACTTGGGGCTTTTTGGTAACTGTTTGATGAACTTGCTTTTTCTTTACCCTTGAAGAGAATACATTTGCTTATAACAAGCTGTATTCCATTTTTGGCACCTTCAGAAACTTCAGAAACTTTGACACTTTCAGAAACAAAATGTAAGAGGATTCTTCTGGGACAAATCTGGAAAGTCTTCAATTTTGTCAACTGTGACTCGAACCTGTTGCCTCATTTTTTTCTTGTAATACGTAAACTTGGAATTTCTATTACATGATGTTTTGATCAGACAATATATATGTGTGTGTTTGTTGCTTGTTCGTTAAAATTCCTATTTTTGTATTCAAACAACTTTTTAATAGGGAATTTTGACTCCATTGCCTTAGTGAAAATGGACTAACTTCAACTGATGTTTATATCTTAGATATGTTATTGTCTAGAAAGCTTACCATTTAATAATGCTGCATGTAAATCCAATGCTGTACAACAAAGAAAAAACAAAATCTTGCTGCTAGATCATGTTCCTTCACTGAGTTTTCATTAAAATTTGTATGCAGAAATCTGTTCAGTAGATTTTTCACTTTGTGTATTAAAACTACTCACTTCTACCAGCTTAAATATTTTAGTTATGTTACAGTAAAGGTACTTTGTGGGTCATGCTGAACTGTTAAGTTGGCTTCAAGGAAAAGTTTTCAGTTAATTTTTGTGGTGTTTTGTAATTTGAAATGATGCTCAAATCCTAGTATTTGGGTGTTCTTTATGTGGTTATGCATAGCTTCCTTACCAAGTAGTCCTGGGATTGTATATTACTTTTTTTTATTTTATTTTTAAATTCTTGGTTTTGAATATTATTTAACCTAAGATAATTTCTCATTGTGAGGAAGCTCAGGAGCTCTCTAATCCAACCTCCTGCTCAAAGAAGGTCAGCTATGAGGTCAGACCAGGCTGCTCCAAACTTTGTCCAGTTAGGTTTCGAAAACCTATATAAAGCCAGGCTTTTTAAAAAGGTTTCTCTGTAACATAAAAGGCAGTAACTATCTTCATGTTGCACAGCACTATAATGAACTGTGACATTTTAGGGCACACTGGGGGAACTCTGGTAAATTCAATTACTCTGTTGAGAAGAGATTATTATTTCTGGAGGCACACTCAGAGAAGAGACTCAAAGGTGATCTGTTCCTGCTGTCAGTGTAAGCAAAGAAC